AGATGCGGGACGCTTTTCTTTTTTCGAGTGTGTATTTTGTATTTGTTTTTGTGTCTGGATGGGTGTGTATTTGAGTGAGTGTTTGGTCGAATAATTGTTCGTAATTACTTGGTTCCACATTAATTTTGTCCAGTTAACTGATCGTTCTGCCATATTTAATGATTCTGTTGTTTTTTATTACTAACACTATTTTGTTTAGTTTTTTAGTATATAAAGTTTCTCCGTTGTAAATATTCAGTAGGGCTTCATTTTTTTAATATTGTTATCCCCACCTCCGAAAAATTGTACATATGTTAACTAGTTACGATTATATAGAGACTCTGAGGTATTATTGTGACTGTAAAGCTAAGTAAGAATGTGTTATTTTGGGGTCAGTAATCATAGCTAGCTAAGTTTAAGATAAGATAGGCTTTCCCCTTTCACCCCTTTTGGTCTTTTGCCATATTTTTGTATTAAAACAAAATAAATATTACTTTCTGCTCTGATACCTAGACTTCATGAATTTAAGTACAGTACTAGATTAACAACAAGATCTCATCATTTTACAGTTGAAATGGTTAGATGTAGCCGTATGTTCTATGCTAACAGTTTCTTCTATCGCACTTCTCACTTGTGGAACTCTCTTCCTACTTCTTACTTCCCAGTCAATTGTGGTCTTCAAAAATTCTAATGCAATGTCAATCATTATCTTCTGGTTTCCTATTCCTTTTTGTGTCCTCTCTCCTTAATAGTAGTAACCCTGTGCGTCCTAGTGGCTTTATTGCCTTCATTGAGGTGAAATTATTGAAAAAAATTATTTCAAATTCTTTAAATAAACTAGAATAGCTATCTTTTGCTTGTCAATAACATATTCTTTAAGAAATATTACTATTTTACTATTTATTATAAACCAAATTAGCACATATTTCAACACAACCAAAACACATTTTTTATAACCAAGATGGATGTAGGGGCTCTAGTCTCTAGGGTTCCACAAGAGGTCGGTAGAGTGATAAATAAGCTAATGCATTTTTTAATAATTTCTGTTTAATTTTACATCCGTCATTTTGCTATACACGTACGGTATATGGTTGGAAAATCCTTTGTTATTATAATAAAGGCTTCGACGTCTTATATTATTTAAAATTATAATAATCACAGGGAATGTATTTAGTGATGTCAACATGGCGTCAGTGTGAAACCGCTTTCACAGGTTGGTGGACAGGACCTGTATACGGCAGATTCGTGTATCATTGAGGGACTCACTCGAGTACAGGATGAGTGTCCATGTATACACACATACATGTACACATACACACACACACACACACATGTATATATATATCTGTGTGTATGTGTCTATACACACACACACACTCATATATATATATATATATATATATCATTCTGATTCTATCTATCTATCTATTTCAACTAGTTCATTATCTATCTCAATCTGTTCATTATCCATATCAGTTTGGGTTATTTTTTTATTTATCTCAGTCTATCTATCTATCTATCTATCTATCTATCTATCTATCTATCTATCTATCTATCTGTGGTGTTGCAACCATGCACTGCAACCAGAATGTTTTTTTCATATTACCATAGAGCAGTGTTTCTCAATCGATGTTCCCCGGAACTCTAGGATCCCGCAAGAAGTCGCTAGGGGTTCGCCAAGATACATAGGCTAATACCTTTTTTAGCCATTTCTGTTTAATTTTATATCCGCCATTTTACTACACACGTACGGCATATTGTTGTAAAATCCTTTGTAATTATAATAAAATCTTCAACCTCTTATATTATTCAGAATTATAATACTCATAGGGAACGTATTTAGAGATGTCAACATGGCGTCAGCGTAAAACCGCCTTCACTGGTTAGTGAACAGGACATGGACGTGTCGGATTCGTGTATTATTGAGTGACTCACTCGAGTATAGGATGAGTGTCCATATATTACGTTTACCACGTGAACTACGATAAGAGATAGATATAAATAATGGTAGATGATAATTTTTAAGCAAGGGTTCCATGACACATGAAAACTATTTCAAAGGTGGTAAAATTGTAAAAAGGTTGAGAAACGTTGCTCTGAAATTTAAAGAGAGATAAAACAAGTTATAAAAGTTCACCAGGTTAAAAGAAGAGGCTGAAATTAAAATTATCTTATAGAGAAAGAAAAGATATATCAAATGCGAATTTTTGTTTTTGAAATATTCAGATGAGAATTGCTAAAGAAAAAAGCATGACAACAACAAAACCGTAAAATGTATTTGTCTAAATTTAGTAGCAGAACTTATGTTGAAAGCATAAAAATTAGTTTATATCTATTAATTTTATTGCCAAGGAATGGCAATAAAATTAATGAATAAAAGTTCATTTTTTTTTGCTGTATTAAAATTCCCTCAGTTGCTTTTATTTAGTTTTAATGCTTTTATTCTATAAATAACTTCATTGAAGTAAAAGAAAACTTCCAGATTAGTATAACATAATCTATTCAAGATCACAGGGAAATTCCATTCTAATCCAAAAACCTTTCCTTCTGTCTACAGAGGGAGGGCTGTAAAGACTTAATATATAGTGTTTCCAGTACTTTCAAGCGTAAGTCCGAATGTGTCCGATTCAGAGTTGAGAACATGACGGAACATAGCGCATTTACAATGATGTAATAGCTTTTTCAATTATCGCAGAACAGGGTGTATTGACGCACCTATGCAAATTACTGAATTACACTCGCCGGAACATGATAATTAATTCTACCTATACAGTCAGCATCACACTGATGTGTTAAACGGTGTATATTTGAACAAATATGATGAAAAAGCAGAAAATCCCTCCGGGTTGACCTTGAGATCGGTTGGGTAAAAAAGTTGACATGTGTACTGGCAGCTAGGTAGAATTTTTTTTTTTCACACTTACAGAGATTTGTTCAACAAACCTCGTGCTAACATCACCAACCCACGGCAATCGCAAATATACAGGACATCGACTTTCTTTTGTTTCATTGATCTGAAACCCATTTTCATCTGATCTTATTCATGTGAGGCTCTTAAAATATAAAAGCGCTCTTCCTGTAATGTGATAACAAAAACAGTAGCATACGTCAGTTGTATTGAACTCATTTTCCATGAAGCACTTCATATTTATAGCCTTGTACCGAAGTTGATGCTTTCCATTAAATATTATATGTATTCATTCAGTAACGTTTACTTAATTCCTGCTGTCCTGGGTATTACGATAAACTACGTCCGTGTCCCTGGTAAGACGATAAACTACGTCCGTGTCCCTGGTAAGACGATAAGCTACGTCCGTGTCCCTGGTAAGACGATAAGCTACGTCCGTGTCCCTGGTAAGACGATAAACTACATCCAGCAGCAAAGCCTTTGTTCAGGAGGTTTTGAGGAGCGTTCAACCAAATCTTAATTCCTGGTGTTTTCAGGTCGACCCTAACCCCGGGGTGGTAGCACCAGTTAGTGTCCCAACTATGGGTAAATAGTTAACCACCAGACTGGGGTCAAAACACTATAAAAGTGTAAAAATAGGTTTTAATGCTAGAAATACTTTGTAAAAATTATTACCAGTAATACATTATTACCAGCAATACATTTTTGAAAATAATCTTGGCATTAAATGATCCATTGAGGTTGATATACCGTAAAACAAAAGAAGACAAACTTAGATCATTTTTTCTTGGGATTCAGTGCATTACTATAGTAAAATTAATTATAGTTGATACCTATAATAAAAGAAAAAGAAATAGGTTTACATTTTACATATAACTTTAATCATACTTATTATAAAACCCAGGTTGTGTGTGTGTCTGTACGTTTATATATTGGACCGGATTTCTTACATTTTTCAACCGATTTCAACAAAACTTCACAGGACTACGTAAAATTACTTTGCGGTGGTTCTGACAGCGCCCCAAATTGGAAAAACACAATTGTTTTTGCACGAAATCAATATGAAAACACGATTAGGAGACATCGCGAGAATGAAAGGGGGACAACTCATATCGAGTTATACTTATTATAAAACCCAGGTTGTGTGTGTGTATGTGTGTGTGTTCGTTTATATATGGGATCGGATTTCCTATATTTTTCAACTGATTTCAACAAAACTTCACTTATTTTTTTAGCAGGTAGTGTTTCTTATTGTCTTGCACACTTTTTTCTTTATTTTTACATTCAGAATGCTTTAAAAATTCCATTTACAAGACAATTGTTTATAATAAAATTCTGTTCAATCGGTAGACTCATAACGATTGAAAACAATGTTTTTGTTTGAGTTTGGGTTTGACCAATTCGTAAAAAAAAAAAAAACTAATTAAGATATGCGTGTCCGTCAACCTTAAACAATAATCTTTGTCAATTTTATTTTTCAGTCTTTATGATGGTCGATACTTGATCTATCTCTTACTGTTACATCCCCGGGCAACGCCGGGCTCTACTGCTAGTCGGTTTATATGTCTTGTATCAATACCTGACCACTGGCAATCAGTTTGTTTTTAATTTTCCTGACGTGTTAATTGTAATATTTTATTAATTTATTTTTACAATAGTGCTTCCCCTGCACAAGGCCAAAGAACTATTCGTGATTACAATTTAGAATCTGCTATAAAATAACTCGTGATTTATCGACATTACGCACACAATAGTCGTCTTGTGGCAATAATGTTTGCATTGATTCCTAACCAATGATAATCCCTTTGTCTTGAATTTTATAGCATTTCAATTATAAATATTTGTACAATGCATGATAATTTGAAATCTACTTTAAAACAACTCGCGATGGATTGACAGGTGTACTTCTGTCTTCACATCTACCATGTTTTCTCACAACAATGGCGACTCATTACTGAAACTTTTAATAAATGAATGGATCTTTCAGACAATTATCGTAGTTTGAGTAAGGTTATGATTAATCTTCTAATTATAGCGCCATGTCATAATTATGATACATGATATTTCATGTCGGGCAAATAATATTTATCATAAAGAAATGACATTTTGACTTACAACCATATCACGTTGAAACACCCGTCCTCGTACGATCACCAAAATTAAGCAACGCCGAGCCTGGTCATTACCTAGATGGGTGACCGCTTGGGTATAACAGGTTCTGTAAACTTGGATGCGAAGTTGATATAAAGGGCATAAGGTCTTATCACGTTGCAGCATCGGTTCTTGTACGATCACAGAAGTTAAGCAACGTCAAGCCTGTTCACTACCAAGATGAGTGGGCGCTTGGTAATAACAGGTTCTGTAAGCTCGGATGCGCGGATGAGATAAAGGGGATACGGACATATCACGTTGAAACACCGGTTCTCCTACGATCACCGAAGTTAAGCAACGTTAAGCCTGGTCACTAACTAGATGGGTGAGCGCTTAGGAATAACAGGTTCTGTAAGATTGATGTGCGGGGATATAAAGATGATACGACAATATCACGTTGTAACACTGGTTCTCGTACGATTATTGAAGTTACGCAACGTTGAGCCTGGTCAATACCTTGATGGGTAACCCTTTGGTAATAACAGTTTCTGTAAGTTTGGATGTGCGGATGATATAAAACGGCTTAGGTCTTATCACGTTGAAACACTGGTTCTCGTACAATCACCAAAGTTAAGCAACGTGTTGCCTGGTCAATACATAGATGGGGGACTGCTTGGTCCTTAATCTTTGATGGTGTAAAGGATAACTGCTTGTTAGTGGAAACTGAATTACATTTTGTTTCCCTCAACTCTCTCTCTCTCTCTCTCTCTCTCTCTCTCTCTCTCTATATATATATATATATATATATATATATATATATATATATGTTTCTGTATTCGTCCCTCCAAAAAGTGTGGCTGGTCCTGCACAAGGCCTTCACCACTATAAACAAATCTCATGTGCCGATGACGGTTTCCTGGGGACTTATTGGCCTGACCCTCGAACGCGACGTGAGAGTCGATTATATATATATATGAAAGAAATATGTTGTAGAGGTTCCAACGAGAGAAAAGAATGTATATTGAAGAGAGGTACCGCAAACGTTTTTGGTTGTAATGTGGATTTATTTAGAAAAAAATATTATGCTTTGTTTTACATAATTTTACGACACGTATTTCTGGTCTCGTGACTGTCTTCAGGTAAAAGCGGAGATTTCCACATATTATTAAAAATAATTATTTTTCCCTTATGTTCAATGTTAAATATTCTCGATATGAGACATTTTCTGTTTGTGTGTTGGTAATCCGAATTTCTTTCTTGAATTTATTTATTTAAAAAAATTTATAACATAAACATGTTAATAAATCACTACAAAAATAGCCATTTTGTTTCAACACTCCCGGTGTCATATCAAGTGATGATGTTGAATGCAAAACAAATGGTTTTAAAAGTTTCAAATTAATTAACGATCCCTCGCAAGGGGAAAACGTTGTTACAAAAGCTAGAATGACCAATCAAAATACAAGTATAGGAAAATTCAAAAAGCCTGACAACGAAGTCATGTTATAATAGCTATTCAGATCGTTAAAATACGGGTAATATTAAAAAAAGAATTTATTCTAACCAATAATTATTAAACTATATGATAGAATTTGATATTGAAATTAAAAACTGCCAATCTTAAAATCCAAATTTAATCACTATTAAGTTTAAAAACTATAAAATTACCGAGGGGAAAAGGAGAAATACATATGTTATTCAATTTATTTCTTCGTTGAAATTACGTTAGAATAGACATTACTTCATCCTGTGTGGCGTTAAAGGCAAGGAATTTTTTTCCCTATAGGCCATGATAAATTTTAAAACAAAAACACGAACACAAGTCGACCGGTTTCGTCCCCTCTCGTCAGAACTGTAAACGGGGAAACAAATTATGAGAAGAAAGTCTGTCCCTATATATGGGCCCTTGATATGTTCTTCTCTTTCTGATATCAAGTGTTTTGTTTTGCTTTCATCTTTCCCAAGGCTTCCTCGTTATTCCCATGTTAAAGCTATGGTATTCTCAGTATCCTTCTGTAGAACCACACTTCTCTTGCTATAAGTCGCGTCTTCATCTGTGATGGGCCTGCCCAGCATTCACTGCCACATAAGAAGACTGATATTACATAACATTTCAGTGCTCTTTGCTTTGTTTCTAACAAAATTTTCCTGTTTCTTAATATTTTGCTTAGATTTTGAAAGACATCTTTCGCTATTCCAATGCATCTTACTTCTTCGGTGTCGCATTATTCGTCCTTTGTTAAAACACTTTCTAGATATTTAAATTGTTGTACTTATTTGATTTTGGTGATTCCAATTTGGAGTTCGCCTTTTCGGTTGTTCCTTTCTTTCAATCACACATTTTATCGTCTTTCAATTGATATTTCGTTCTTTCTTCTCACTTTATCATATTCTGCAAGGATTCCTGTAGTTTCCTTTCTATGCTATCAATACTGTCATCTGAATATCTTATGATTTTAATGACTGTCGGAAGATTATCAGGGAGTCATAGTTTCTCATTTCAGATGTCCTCAGCGCAACCATGTTCATACTATTATTTCGTTTGTAATTTCATTTCTTGAATTAATCCATCGGTTTGGTTTATCATTTTTTTTTATGGTTTGAATTTCTTTCTATTAAGTTTTGTAAGGCATTTTTTTTGCTATTCAAGTGCGTCTATCCCAATACGGATTTCGGTGTCAGATTTTCCGTCCCCTGTTAAAATACTTCCTAGATATTTTAATGTTTGTACTTGGTTGATTTTGGTTCTTCCAAAATGTAGTTCGGGTCTTGGACAGTTCTTTTGGTCGAAAACAATTCACTTTGTCTTCTTACAATCAATGTTTAGTGCTTTCTTCTTACTTGTCAGTACTACAAGTTCGCCCACAGAAAATAGCAAAGGTATTAATCTAGTGACTGAAATAACAATTTTTGGGGGTCCATTTTAACAATTGCTATAGATACTCCTGCTACATGTATTATAACGAGTATCCGTAGCTATAAAGCAAACAAATAAGGAGTTTATTTTATTTTTTTTAAAAATAAAACCGCCCGCTATTTACATTGTTCGGACTGTCATCCTCATCTTGGTTGCCATGTTTATCACAACGTTTCAGCCGTTGTACGCTCCGGCCTTCTTTAGATAGAATGTCGAACTGAATCCTTTATTTCGCTCACTGGGGTAGATTGAAGAAGGCCGGAGCGTACAACGGCCGAAACGTTGTGATAAATATAACCAAAGAGATGATGATGATAAATGTAAACAATTTAAATAGTGTACATAATACCTCATCTCAGAAATATAGACAGAAAACCGACCGGTCTCTCATCTTCATCCCCGGTCTATTGAAAAGGAGTAGAGGTTTATCCCTTGCTTCCTGATTAGGATTGGGTTTCTGGTTCCTTCTAAAGTCTACTTCAACTGTATACTTCTAGCGTCCCGATTGATTTTATTCAGTAATTATTTATTTTTCTTCTCGCCAAATAAGACTAAATAGGTTCGTCTATCGTCCGTTTCTCATATCTCTCCTGCCTTTTGAACCTGGAGTATGTTATCCGTTGTCGTCTGTTTAGGATTGCATTTCCGGTTCCTTCCAAAGTCGACTTCAGCTCTATACTTAAAACGTCTCTGCCTGAACTTTGAAATGTTATCCACTAATTATTTTTTTCGCTTTCCTCAAAAGGAAAATATAGTTTCGGCTGTCGTCTGGTTTACACTTCTTCTCCATTTTTTTTTTAACAGGAGTAGAGGTTTATCCCTTGACTCCTGTTTAAGACAGGATTTCCGGTTACTTCTAAAGTCTGTTTCCATTCTATACTTCTAACGATTCCAACTGAACACTGAAATACTATTCAACAATTAAATCTTGAGTTCTTCAAGTCTAGAGTTAGTCGTTATCTTTCTGTTATGGTCCGGTTCCTTGTACCACGGTGATAGTCCAAGGTAGAACCAATAAAGAAGAACTCGAATACGGATATGGAATAACACAGATATATTACAAACAGGAATATATACAGAGAGGTAGAAGTGTTAGTATGAACAATCAGGTTTAGTAGAGAGAACAATGTAGTCTCGACCAGTATCACTATTCCAATGTCTTGCAGTAATTGTCTGAACGCGACTCTGTTTCGGACTGCCTCTGACTCGACTCTTGACTCGACTTGAACTACTGACTCGACTTGAACTACTGACAATATTTATTGCTGTACATACAAGAAATGTGGCACAAGGCCAAAAAGGTGGTTGGGGAAAAGGACGGTCATCACTTGTCTTAATATAAAACTTAGCTAGCCACAACCACTGACCCTATCATACAAAACAATATTCCTATCACCAAAACAACACATTTATCCATACCTTTTATACTACATCCGCCAAAATACCTCTTCGTCTCAATGAAAATCCTAAATAGTCCCCTTGTACAAATATTGTCTGTGAGGGGAGGGGGCATAAAAACAACAATTTTAAAAAGATCCCCAATGAGTATCACTTGAACTACTGACTATATTTAGTCACACCGCCCCACGTGGGCATCATATGGCACAAGGCCGGTTTAACGTGGGATCTCCGAGCTCATGGGCTCGGCCAAAAATATGCTCATTGAACCCATATAAACGGGTTCAGGGTCGGTTTACCTCCCCGAACGAGACTCCGCCCTTCGGCGTAGCCTCGTTCGGGTTCCTCCCTACCCGAAGGCAGAGAGTTCAACCGATCAGCCGGTCGACCGAGATCGACTTGAACGACTGACCCCTTGCCTACTGACTGAGGGGCAGTATTTATTAAGTATGGAATAGTCCATTATTATTATTATTGTTAAGATCCCATCACACTTTCCTGCATAGCCCAAAGAACTTTCTTACGCTAATAAACTCCTCATCATAACCCTCTATCTTGAGTGGCACTCGGAGCTTGTATGTGGTGCACATTAGTGAAAAAACGAACAAAGCCTTTGTTCGCTTAAAGCTGCCGAAATTACATTAAATTATGAGAAAAAAAGGTTACATTAAATATGAAACAACATTTTCCCAGGTATTTTTTTTGTTCACACTCTCCTGTGCCATGAACGGTAAATAACACTTTCTCTGTGATCAATAAACAATCTTTCCCACGTACATTAATCGCTGGTCTCAAGCTTCCTCTCCTCCGATAACGTTGGATGTAACTTGATCCTCCTCCTAGTCTTTGTCACTTATTCACCACTTGTCTCACTCTATCCAGATACATAGTCACCCACTGACTTAGCAGAGGACTCAGTCGTAGTTTGACGTGCGATAGTAATTGTAGAAGCAGTTAACAGTGTCATATGTGCCTTCAACCAAACATTAGTTTGGCACCTGTCGCCTCGCTGACGGCAAGGAGATCAAATTTAAAACTGTTTATTCATCTAATATACCACATTAATTAGAAAATATAATAATTTTAAATACAGTTGTCATAAAACGGACTTCAAAGAGCCCAAACATTTTTGGTCACCCAACACAAGGCTCAGTGGGGGGTGGCACGCAAGGTAGGGGGTTACTCTGTGGAGTTGTATTAGCGTAAGAAAGGGCAAGAAGATTACTCGCTGCTTAATTCTGTCCCTCTTTTATTATCTTTTTTATTAATGTTTACCCAATATACAAGGCCCAGGGGACCTCCAAGGTTGAGGCTCACTGTGTGGTGTTGTATTAGCTTAAGAAAAGTCAAGATATTAAGAAAGACTGACCACTAATTCCATGCTTGAAGAGGCCAAGATAAGTTGAAGAAGAAATCCAATCCTAAACAGGAAACAAGGGATAAACGCCTCTTCAATAAACCGAGGATGAGAGACGGTTTTCTGTCTATATTTCTGACCTGAGGTATTATGTACAGTATTTACATTGTTCGGACTATCATCTTCATCTTTGTGGCCATATTTATCACATTTGCACCAAAATTTACATGCACATGCTCCAAGTTAGCAGGAAGGCCAAGACCGATTTTGCATTTCCCAACTCCCATCGATAGTGGAAATAATTGATTTTTCATGCTTCTACGGCACTTTTCATGTAGTTTGCGGCCATTTTCTACTGGCCAGAGTGAGAGCCTATAGCTGACTGCCACGAATAGGCAGGAAGATTCTATTGGCCAACGTGAGAGCCAACAGTTGACTGACACGAATGTTAACTAGCATGCTAGCATCCAAAAAAAATCGATAGCTGCATTCGTCACAAGTGGGAAAAATTTAAATCTGCGTGGCACTTTACTCCAATTGGCTCATTCGCTTGCTTAAACTCAACGTTGATTCTGATTCCGCAGAAGTGGGTTGGGTGTGAAAAAGTATTTGTTGTTAACATTCTTTTTTCATTCGTTTTTTCCAGTTACGAGTACTTTTTTTAAAGCTGATCGTTTTGTGTTCATTTTATTTTGTTCTATTTTTTCGTAACAGATTTAATGTTTAGTATAGAGCTTAGAAAAAATTCGCAGTGTGAGATAGGCAAGAAGTAAAGCATGTAGCAACATCAGCACGGTAAAGGGCACCCCTTTAAAGGCAAGGAGGGGCAAAAATATTTTAAGTCAAGTGATAACGATTGCTGTATGAGTCGTACGAATTTTGAATCAAGCACGGGCAACGCCGGGCCCTGCTGCTAGCAATACATATATTTAAATTTTCAACTATTTTTCTCTTCCTATTAATCAGGGGTTGTTGTCAGATAAGGAAAATATATGGTTTTAAAACAGCTTCTTCTTTTTCTTCTGTGTTTCGTGGCCCTTCATTGCGTTGGTGATCATGGCTCTCCACAATGCCCTGTCCTTTGTAGCTCATCATAAATGTCGTATTTTTGATACCTCTCTAAAACCCTATTCATCCATCCATTTACTGAAGCTCGTTAGGTAGGTAACGTGCTGTTTTCCTCTGTATCTTTTACCTCCAATCTTTCCTGTGAGTATCAGATTTTCCAAGCCATCTTTCCTCATTATACGCCCTAGATATTTCAACAGTCTTTTACTGATGTTGAGTATAAGTGTCCTTTTGTTTCCATTTTCTCTAAAACTTCATCATTGCTCATATGTTCGGGCCATGTTATTCTCAGCATCCCCTAAATTAATCAATCGTCTGTGATGAGGTTTCTCAGCATTAACAGCCATATCGGAGGACTGATATTATTTAACAGTTCAGTACTATTTTCTTCTAAAGTTCGTATTTTCTGGATTTCAGATAAAAACGTTAATGGCATTTTCATTTTCCAAAAATAGAGTTCATAACAAAAATTTAGATATATAAAAAAAACGAATATATCAGTTTAAACTGACACCAGGTGGATATGGGTTAAAATGGCGTCTTTTATCTTTTTTTTTTTTCTAATTTAAAAAAAATTTTTTTGACATATTATAACCATTTCGCTTAAAGGTCATATTTTCTTAAATTTCAGATTTTAAAAAATTTCAAAACATATACGTGAACATTTAATTTCCAAACATTATATTTTAAATTAATTAAAGTTTAGATGTATGTGGAGAAAAGTAGACGTCAGTTGAAAGCAGTGGTTCCTAAGCTTTTTTTTTCTCTGGGCCGCATTTTCG